CGATATGAATTTTTTTATTTTTGGTGCAATTGGATATGACTTTTCACCCAACTCTCGCAAGCAAGCAAAATAGAAACACCAACACAAAATACTGCGATCCAAAAAAAACCCGCTTCCACCAGATTGAACCTTTTCACCAGCTCCCACCAGCTCACGCCCTCACGCGCCGCCGCACCAAAACCGAAATCTCCGTTCACGACCACGCGGCTGAGTAGAAACTCCTTCCCGTACCCAATCAAATCCCCCACCTCACCAACCATATCCATCAAACCAATCGCAGCCGTCGATCCGGCCCGACCCATATAGCCCGCGCACGACCCGAGATCCTCCGCCGCATCCGCAACCCACCGGATCAGATCCTCCATCTGCTCATAGCTCCGTGTTTCCAGATCCGGGTCGAATGACGCGCCTGATTCGACCCATCGCGTGGGCTAGAGAGGCAGAGCAGCTCATCAGCGCTGGCTCGGGCCGGGTCCACTCGGGCGCCGTGGATACGATCCGGGCTAGCTTGACCCGGGATGTTTCTATAGAAACCGCGAGGACTTGGTCCGGGGTTAGGTCGGGTCGGGTCGCGAGGAGGGGGTCTAGGGCTGTTAAGCAGGATGTGTAGCGACGGGTCGGGCGACAGAATTCATGGACTGCCGGGTTCGGGTCGGGCGAGGAGTGGTTGGGCACGAGGTGGATGATTATGCCGCCGATGATTAGCGTTAATAGGAAGATTAGGGTGAAGAAAGCGAGGATTAGGGACTTGTTCCTGCGGCGGAGGGAGGGGACGTCGTCGTTTTGGGGGAGGAGGCTGGCTTTGGAGCTGGCGTTTGAAGATTCCATTGGCTCTATGTAGGAAGTTGTGGCCTTGTGGGAAATTGAAGTGAAAAATTGAATTCAATAAATCATGTGTGGAAATTTTTAAAAAATAATGAGTCAACCATATTGACATATAATTATAGAAATCTTTTAAAACATCCAAGATAAATGTGAGAATAAAACTGAATCAACATATTTAGGTTAATATCTTACTAAAATCATTCCATATTTTTCGTAACATATTTTGGTTAATATCTTAGCAAAATTATTCCATAATTTTCGTGAAGATAAATGTGCAGAGAAAAACTATGTATAAAAAGGTATTAATTGATACGCGTGACCAGGATTATTTCGCCAGATCTTGAGATGGAGATGGAACGCGTGACCGAGCTGACGATGGATCGGCGGCCGAGGAAAAGGCCGGGGTTAGGATGGGATGTTCTTCCTCAAGCCCCTCAGGTACGTTTGTCATAAGATCTTAAAATCTTGATCTTCTTGATCTTCTTGATCTTCTTTTTNTTTTTCTTTTTTATAGTTTGTTTTGTAGCTCTGATGCGAAATTATGAATATTATTGGAATGGGATGTTCCTCCTCAAACCCTTAAGGTATTTTTTTATAAGATCTTAAAATCTTGATCTTCTTTCTTTTTCGTTTTTTTTATGATTTGTTTAGTAGATTTGATGAGAAATTATGAATATTATTGGGTCAGGTATGGGTAATGGCTTTTTCTTTCAGTAATAAATTTGCCTTGCTGGTGTGTTTTATGTTTTGTTTGGTTTTGGATTGGTTTGAAGAATTCTTATTTTCTAATTTCTTAATTCTTTTTAAAAGACCTTAGATCTGCTCTTGGTTTTTATATTTATCCAGAAAATCTTATGACTTTTGAAGAGAAAATCCTGGTTGTATTGCCTGTATTATATTATTTCGAGTTGGCTTATTATCATGGAGTGTTGTACCTTTTTTTCTTCGAAGACCTCTATAATTTATTCCTAAGTTTTGAAATTAGTCGTCGAAATTTATGATCTATCTCATAAAGGATGAGTCTTTACTATCTCATAATATTTATATTACATCTCGCATCCTACTTTTATACATTTATGCGATTATATTAAAAATAATTTGGCTAATCCTCTCTATATATTTAAAAATATATTTATAAAGGTGATAACTTTTGTATTTCTTATCGCTTTACATATATAATATATCAAATTAATCATCTTTTGATGAGCTTCGATTTGATATTCATATTGTATATATAATAAATAAATTATATTTATCTTTATAATAATAATAAAAATTATTTATTAAAATTAATTAGAAAATAAAATTATTATCAATTAGTATATTTATGTTTAATGTAGTTATATGTTATAAGGTAGAAAATTTATTATAATATAACACATATAAGTCGCACAAGTAACATGTGTCATACTAAAATATATAATAATATATACTCCATCCTATTTTTATTATTTGTCACTTTGGTTTAATTGATCATTGATAAAATAAATATCGTTTTAGATATTTTGTTGATACTTTTTTTCATTTTTAACCCTCCATCTAATACACAGTGTCTCCATTGTTGTACTTATCAATATTCAAAACCATATGCTAATGCCCTGAGCCTATGTGACAAACTCTCATGATTCGTAATTTTATTTGGCAAAAAATCATGTTTTGGAGTTAGGCTTGGATATAAATTAATATTTATATTAATTAATTGTAATTTAATATTGTTTCCTATTATAACCATTGGATTGAAAATATATTTTTAAAGGTGATAACTTTTGTATTTTTTATCGCTTCTACATATATAATATATCAAATTAATCATCTTTTGATGAACTTCGATTTGACATCCATATTGTATATATAATAAATAAATTATATTTATCTTTATAATAATAAAAAAATTATTTATTAAATTTAATTAGAAAATAAAATTATTATCAATTAATATATTTATGTTTAATGTAGTTATATGTTATAAGGTAGAAAATTTATTATAGTATAACACATATAAGTCACACAAGTAACATGTGTCATACTAAAATATATAATAATATATACTTCATCCTATTTTTATTATTTGTCACTTTGGCTTAATTGATCATTGATAAAATAAATGTCGTTTTAGATATTTTGTTCATATTTTTTCATTTTTAACCCTCCATCTAATACACAGTGTCTCTCCATATCCCATCTCCATTGTTCCCCACAGCATTTATTAAATAGGGTTAATATTGTCAAGAAAAAAAATCTTAATTAGTGAGTTGCATTTGAATTGATATTATGAAATCCGTTTGTATTTTACTATTTATTTATATATATATATATATAAAATACAAAACAGTAATATATATCCTTATAAATAAAATTTAAATTTATTTATCAAACTAAATTAAATTATATCAATTAAAACTATAAATTATATTATAAAGTAATAGAAATTTGTATGTATTCTTTTAAAAATGATATTTATTTGAAATCTAATTGGTATGTTGTCAATGTAATAAAAATAAATAATTATTTATATAAATTCTAAAATTACATATAAAGTTAAAAAACTGTGAAGTACGACTGATACGACACTTGATGTATTAGGCATCTAAAGTAAAAAAAAAAAATTATTTTGTTTAATATTAAATAAACATATTCTACACTTATGAATATACATATCATCATATTATTTTTATTTATTTAAGATATATATTTTATTACTTATGTAATAATAAATAATATTGATATTTTTATATGATATAAGTAAAAAAATTCAACACGAGTTGACATTTTCATTTAATGTACCGGTATTTAATTATTATGATTAAAAACATATAATTTGACAATATAATTAAAACCCAAAGTAATGTTTTATATAAAATTAAATTATTTTAGTTTAAAAAAATATAAAATTTTACAAAAGCTTTCTAATTTAACATAATACACGGGTATTGTACTAATAAGCAATATAGATAAATATTCATTCAACATGCGTTGACACGTTTTCTTAAAATTGGAAAAGTTGGCCTACTGCCCATGTTAGTAAATGATGTGGCTGATTATGATTGGTTTAATTTTGAGGAAATGGTTCCCTGGAACTTCTAAACGGGACTTTAGAAAATTCCTAGTATATGATCTTATCCATTGATGTTGATGATTGGTTGGGGACAAGAAGAAGTCTTCCATTCCACGCACTTCCTCGCAAGAAGAAGTCTTACATTCTTCCAACACTTCAAAGTCCCATAAAAACACGCACACACACATACACCTTTCCCAATAATGGCACCGATCTCCGACCCCTACCGGCTGCCGCCTCTCCCCACCACCGCCAACGATGTCCCTTTTTCCGGCTAATCAACACCCACTTGCTCCGGCCAGCTGAGAGATTGGCGGACCAATGCTCCGTTGGCATTTATTATCACCTACTGGGTTTCAATCATCATCATCGTCGTTTATAACTTAATGCACCCCAAAATCCCAACTTTCGAAATCGAGTCGGCCTCGGTTTCACTGCACAGGGACGTTGAATTTAATGCGACCGTTTGGAAATTAGGGTTTACAGTCGAGAAACAAACGGACAAGATGGGGGATTTCGGCGTATGGGTCCGCTGTGCAAAGTATCCGTATTGGTGGGGAAGGGAGATGGGGACCTTTGGTGGTGGGGAAAACGGGACCACTACTCGTGCGAACGTGACGTTGATCACGTCGTTCGATTGTGGTCCTCCGAAGGCGATGGAGTACGATGTGATGTTCAAGGGAAGGTACTGGGGACGTGCAATTGAGGCCGTGTGCAAGAATATGACGGCCGAGCCGCATGGTAGGTTTGTGGTTGGACGGCCGAGATCGTGTCCGGTGACCGAGTCCGAGTACAACGAACTCCACCCTTACTAGGGTAGGATCGTATAGTACAATCTGCATGTTTTTTTATTTATTTATTTTAATTTTATGGAATGTAGGGTACTAGGGTTTGTTGAAATATGGAATAATTCTTGATGCATGTGTTGAATGGGATTAACTGAGATGGTGCTTGCATATATTTATATATATATATAGGATGTGGTTCAAATGAGAACCAAGTCCTAGCGTGAGAACCGTGAGAACCGCTATTTTTAATTGTATGAAGTGCTATGATTGATTGTATTTAGTGCTATTTTTAATCAGGATGTATTTTATTAAAAATAGCAACTTAGCATTTGTAAAAATGATAGCACCATGTAAGATTAAAAATAGCATCATACACAATTAAAAATAGCATCAAATATGGTTCACGGTTCTCACACCAGAAAAGGTTTTTATTTGAACCACTCCCTATATATATATATATATATATGTATATATATATATATAGCTACATTTAATGGAGTTTGATTTGTGTGACATGTATAAAACTAATTTTTTGAACTGGAAAAATATGAAATTTGTTTATGCGAAAAGACTATATTGTATGACATTTAAATTAATATGTGTCTTCCAAACATATAAGTTTGTGAAAAAGTAGAATTACCAATTAAAATGTTCTCTTCAACTTTCATCAAGTGGCTATGTAATTACATCACATTCATTTAATGGTTAAAATGCAATTTTGGTCATATTAAATCATAAAAGGTAACAGTTTAACTTTCATCCAAGTGACATATATATAGCAATCTAACCGTTAAAATTTTCAATTTTGAGATCAAAATGACTGAAAGTGCAATAAAATATTATATTACAGGATTTAATTAAATTGCGGATTTTTGACAGCTATTGCCTCTAAAATTTAAATTACAGGTCTTAAAATTGTATATGACTATATCTCATTCTAGTGCGACCGTGTGGGAATTAGGGTTTACGGTCGAGAATCAAAGGGTCAAGATCGTAGATTTCGGCATATGGGTGCGGTGCGCAAAGTCTCCCGTTTGGTCGGGAAGGGACATGGAGACCTTTGGTGGTGGGGAAAACGGGACCACTCGTGCGAACGTGACGTTGATGAGCACGTTGTTCGATTGTGGTCCTCCGAAGGCGCTCGAGTATGATGTGTTGTTCAAGGGAATGTATTTGGCACGTGTGTTTAAGGCCGTGTGCAAGAATATGACGGCCGAGCTGCATGCAAGCGACCGTCGTAGGTTTGTGGTTGGACGGCCGAGATCGTGTCCGTTGACGGAGTACCATCGCTAGTGTAGGAGGAGTAGTAGTAGTACAATACAATATGTGTTCTCTACCATTTTTTTTGGTTTGTTGAAATATGGAATAACTAATCTTGATGCATTGAAATGAATTGAGATGGTGCTTGCATATATATATGTAGCTACATTTAATGGAGTTTGATTTATGTGTAGGCATTAGGCATGCTTGTTGCTCGAGCCCCTAACAAGCAGGCCCCGCTCGTAAATTAAACAAGTCAAAAAACTATACTCGAGTTTGGCGCATTTACCAATATTGATGAGCCCAACTATAGAAAATTATACAAAGTTCTCTTTTCGAGTCTTTATCGAGCAGAGCTTGTTAACGAAATAAGCTCGAGCCTTAACAAGCCGAGTCGAACTCACGTTACATTTTAACAGTCCTACTAGGCATGCAGAAACCCAAATTTGTGCGTTTCGAAGTCTTTGATATACTAGAAAAATATGGAATTTGTTAAATATTAGCTAAAAAGAAAAATTTCAGCTAAGTACGTAGTAACATGTATAAAACTGATTTTTTAAACTAGAAAAATATGGAATTCTATCTCGGGATTATGTATTCTCGATCATATTTTGTTTCTGTAGATTTCGTGCATCCTTTTGCAATGTGTCCGGGGAACACTCGTTTTTTCAGTGAAGATCTTTCACATATGCCTGTTACAAAAGATCTAGAGATTGAGCGTGCTTTCAAGGACTTAATGGCCACAAATTGGGATGAACTTCCATCAGAAATCGTCCATGGCGTAAAAAATGCATTGTCCAAGAACGCAGAGGACAAAGCTGCTCAGGATGTTCTTAAAAATGTGTTTCGAGCAGCTGAGGCAGTTTAGGAATTTACCGGCATTATAATGTCGCTAAAAATGGTTATATGACGTCATTGGCCTTAGTGGCGAGGTACAAGAAACTCCGATGCAGTTGATGATTAGGCTAGTAACAAAAACCACACCTGAAGTTTGATCAAAATATGGAATCAATCCGCTTTTCTTTAAAATTACAAATAGCCTCTTGAGGATTTTGTTTGTATTGTAAATTGCCCCCTTTCGACCACTGTTGATATTTTATTTCCTATGTATAATCTAACTATGGGCAACATATTATATACTATTATATTAGTTATTCAATTAATTAATAGACTCAATTAAGTGATCTAAATAAAGTAGAGTCCATAGGCTACGTAAATTGATATGGGCTGATTGAGTGGATACCTAATATTATTAGGGTTAGATGATAATGAGTGACCTACCCTAGTAGTATATAAAGACCCTCTTGGTTATGGTCCCCAATATACTAAATCAAACATAGTTCTCTTTTCTCCCCCCATCTGAATTGAGAATGACGGTCTCATATGAGGAATAAGGCGATTTAGTTGAGGAAGACCATAAAACCAACCCCGTTCGTGATCAAGGATGTGTTCGTGATCCAGACCGTGTTCATGGAGATGGGATCCGGAGGTTGATGATAAGGTATTCCGCATCTAGAAACTCAATCTCAATGGATCCAAGTATTCCTTATAATCTTTAATTATAATCTAGTGCGATATTGATTTTCCTAGAATTAAAGTATGTTCTAGGTTAATTGTTATTGAATTTATATTATGTGATTATAAATTCCTACGTACAAATCTCAAGGGGTTATTTGTAGTTCTGAAAGATAATTGAGTATTTTTCGTTGTGAGGCTTAATTTAAACTCTGGGACACTTTTCGTGATCATCTCTGTTTTGTTCTGTTGCCTGAACTGATAATTTTATTGTTGGGCAGAATGTGAAAACATTGAGTGAAGAATATTCAAAGGCATTGCAGACTATTTTCGATAGCATAGTTTATCTGGCTGCATTTGGGCCAGAAGAGAGCTACTTGAAGAAGAAAGTGGAAACGGAGTTGGGAACAAAGATGATATGTTTGAAAATGTGGTGTGGTGGCCTCGAGGCTAAGTGGGGAAAGGTATACTTTCCTTTTGCTGAATTATATAGTTTTTTTCCCCTTTTTTCAATCGAAAATGTTGATGTGGCTCCCAATCAGTCTAACTTTCGATTTTCCAGTGTGATGTGGCATCTGCATTGCCAATAGACATATACACTTAAATAAAATTAAAAAGAAAAACAAAAAAGTATAAAATAATAAAATAAGTATTTTTTATTAACCAATTAATTAATTTTTTTGGTCGAAACGATAGGAGTACTATTATAACTCAAAACGCACAAAAGTGCAAATAAAACTACAAGGCTCCCAACGGGAGAAGAAAGAGCAGCTAAAACTGAATAAAATGGGAGGACAGGTCTGACGACCACCTAGAATCCCGACTCTAGCAACGCTAGAAACCCAAAACCAAGACTCACTAGACTCCTAACACCACAAACAACAACGAAAACTACAGGGATCCCAACAGGATACTACCCGAGTGTCTGCTCCCAACAGGAGAATCAATTTGACACTCGGGTTCACAGGGGCCAAACGACCCAAACCCAAAACACAGGAAACAAAATAGCACACGGCAATGAGCCAACCGAATTAAAGAAAGCCCATACCAAAAACACAAACACAAAACAAAGAAATCAAACTACAAAACAAACACTGAAAAGACAATAAAACACACGAGCCCTCCCTCTACAGAAAATCCTATCCTAACCAGCAGCCACCAAATCAACCCGGGGGATTCAATAGCATGAGAAGAGCGACCCCTCCACTGCCAAATTGCCTAGCTGAATCGAGACTCATACCACTAATTCCACCAGAGCTAATTCTCCCAACACCAGAAAACATCGAGAAGCTCCCCACACCGTAAATCCGAGTCCCCTAACACCACTAGCAGACTCTGATAGAACAGTGAGCCCCCGGGACATAGAGAACCAGGGGAAGAGAACCAAGCCCAATGCCTCAGCCACAGCCCCTTCCATCCAAAGTCACAAAGACCACGGCCACCAACGAGCCCAAACCCGAACCTACCCTGCCTCCTCACAATTAGCCGCAGCCACCAATCGCGTCCGCATTTCAGGGAGAACAGAGAAGGGCAGAGCACACCAGTCGCAAACAATAAATAGCCGAGACAAGAACGAACAAAAGAAGGAGACTCACCCTCAATCGAGACCGACAAACCCAAAAGCCGATCAGTCTTCAATCGAAAGCTCGCACCCTGCACTCACCCGTCCGCCGGCGAAAAGGAGCAGCGCAGACCGATAGGCCCTTCCCACCTCGACGACCGGAAGAGACGAGCCCAGAGACCGTCCCTACCGTTGCAAGCAAGTTCGGAGAGGGTCCACCTGAGGAGCCAGGGACCTCCGACTAAGGAAGGCGAATAGCCGTAGCCGAACCCGGCCCTTACCCAACTCACCGCGACCTATTAACCTTCCACCGCACCATGAAATCCGGCAATCGCAAACCCTAGCCCACCTATCGGAGGAGGCGAGCCTGAATTGGCGACCACCGAACCACCGGCCGTAGCGAGCAGTGTCGCAGCAACTGGGACGGGCCGGCCGGCGAGGGACGACTACCAGCAAAACGGAGATCCGAGAGGAAGGCGACGGAAATTGATTGTGGACGACTAGAGTTGGGGCCGAATTTTTAGAGAGAGAAAAAAGTGGTATAGTTATTAATAAAGTCTGTAACTAACCAATTAATTAATAATCATCTTAAATATAAAATTAAAAATTAATCAAGTCATTTTTGTATAATTACCTTAAAATATGTCTATTAAAATCAAGGTTTTTTTAAATAAATCTAGCATTCTATAATTTTATGGAATACCTAAATTAAAATATACCTAATAAATATGTCTAAAATACTATAATTAGTTATAAATTAAATTATCATAAATTAATTATAATTATAAAATAACTATATGTTTAATGGAAGCCAAAGTTTAAAAATAGGAAAAAATTGTTGGCTCCTTAATTATTTGATATATATTTAAATATTAAATAATAAATATTTAGCTTTTTATAATTTTTCTTGTACAAATCTATGTATTGCTAATGAGAAGACACTTCATAATCTATATCTATATCCATGTATTATTAAAAGAAATTGAAAATAGACTAAAAGATTTTTTTACGTCATTTTGTGTTAATAAATAAATAAATATTTTAATTATATATAAAATTCAATATTAATTGGTTATTTTATTAACTTTTTTACATATAAAATATTAAATTTTGTTATGCAAAATTTTAACAACGAAAAAAATAAGAGATATATGTAAATTTTTAAAAAAGCAAGAACGAATTAGATAGAAGATAAAATGCATCTTTTGTATTTCTTTTGGGAGAAAATCTTCATCATTATTCATCCTCTCTTTTGGATGAAATTAGCTTCCTTTTTATATTGTAGTACAATTAGTACTACTATGTAGTACGAGTTACTATTTCATTATAAAGTACAATGAGATCTTATTTTTGAAAGAACAAGTCGTCAATCACTACATGACCGACGTTTGGTAGGTAAATGTCTCGTCACCAGTTATTAGTGTGGCTGGTCAACACTCTAAGTCGAGTGGACAACACCTCAAGTAGGGTGGACAACACCCGCAGTCGATAATTTGAGGACCTTCTCCTTAATTATTTGAGGTCCTAATCAGCTATACAACAACCCTGGTCGGCTGGACAACACTAGAGGTCATCTGAACAACGCCCCTGGTCGACATTTGAGGACTTGTCCCTTATTTGAGGTCCTAGTCAGTTGGACAGCACCCCAGGTTGGCCAGACAATGCTCCAAGTCAGTATCTAAACATATGTTGGCGTTTGAAGTTGACCAAGTCGTGTCAAAATTTTACTTGACAAAATCTGCTATGTATATGTCTATTTTTCGAGCATTTTAAACCCCTTTTGCTTTGTCACGTTTCACTCTTCAATTAGTCGTGACTAAATTGGTACCAACAAATTTATTATATTTTAACAATTATTTTTAATTTAACACTGCTAGCAGGGCATATGAAACTAAAAACTATTTTTTATATTTATTTGGAAATATTTTTTCTCAACTTATCTGGATATCTTATATCAACAATAGTTGAATCTACTTTTTAGATACGCACTCTATTAAAATATGTCTATTAAATTCAAGTATTTTTATAAATAAATCTAGCATTCTATAATTTTTATGAAATACTTAAATTAAAATATACCTAATAATTATGTCTATATTCTATAATCAGTTACAAATTAAATTATCATAAATTAATTATAAATTATATAATAATTATATGTTTGACGGAAGTCAAAGTTTAAAAATAGGGTAAAATTTGTTCGTTTCTTAATTATTTGATATATATTTAAATATTAAAATATATTATTTTGGAATATTTAATAAATATTTACGCTTTTGATCATTTTTCTATACAAACTATGTATTGTTAATGAGAAGACACTCTATAATCTATATCTATATCCATGTATTATTAGGAGAAATTGTAAATAGGCTAAAAAAATTTTATGTCATTTTGTGTTACTAAATAAATATATATTTTAATTATATATAAAATTCAATACTAATTGTTCATTTTATCAACTTTTTACATACGAAATAATAAATTAAGTATATTTTCATAATTATTTTTAGTTTAACACTCCTACCAGGCATATGAAAGTAACTATTATTTTTTTATATTTATGTGAAAATATTTTTTCTTAACTTATTTGAATATTTTATATCAACAATGGTTGATCTACATTTTCATTTTAATAGTGTAAGTTTTTTTATGGTTTAAATATATTATGTCAACATTTTTTTAATGACAACTCTTATTTGGTTATTAAATGATTTTAAAAATTAAAAATAAATATCACTTATGTTTTTAACTGAATGCATAAGTGATATTTTTAATATTAATTAAAAAGAAAACTTTCAGCTAAGCAGCTAGTGATATATATAAAACAAAGTTTTTAAACTAAAAAAAATATGGAATTATTTTAATATATGTAAAAAAGACTATAACGTGTGACATTTAGATTAATATGTGAAAAAGACTATAATGTGTGACATCTATTACTATATAATACGGAGAAGAAAAAATGTTTGAAAAAATATTTCAAATTCCCGCTTAAAAAACTGTTTTTCCCCCTTAAATTTAATTTGAATTTTTTTCATCCCCTTTTTTTGCCATGGATTTCCCTTATCTACAACATGATTAGATTTCAAATCTTTTCAGTTCACATTACAATTCGATTTTAATTCGGGATTCAAAATTTGATTAGATTTTTTTTAAATATGTAAAAAAATGAGAATCCCCTCTCTCTCTCTCTCTCTATATATATATATATACAAATTTGTGATGAGTTGAATTTTAAATTCAATTTAATATTAACAAATGTATATTTTATGTAAATAAAATTTAATAGAAAAACAAAATTAAAAAGATTGTGTGGTAACATTTTTCGAAATAAATAAATTATGGGAAGGTGATTTTGTTAGCAAAAAATTCAAAGAATTTTGTTTGGGTTCAAATTTTGAATACGTGTATGATTAGTTATAGATAAATGAATCCAACATATTCTAACTACCAAAAAATATGGAAACACATTTCCTTATTTAAAAATTCAAATTCAAGAATGTGAGGAGTTGAATTTTAGATTTAATTTGAAATTAACCACTAATGTATATCTTATGTAAATAAAACATAATAAGAAAAAAAAATTTGTGTGGTGACATTTTTCGAAAAGTGTGAGGAGTTGACTTTTAGATTCAATTTAAAATTAACCAATGTATATCTTATGTAAATAAAATTTAATAAAAACAAAAAAAATAGAAAAAAATGTGTAATAACATTTTGGAAATCTATTACTATTATTACGACTAAGAAAAATTGTTCAAAAAACTCAAAAAAATTATCTTATTTTCCCGCTTCATATTCCCGCTTTTTTTTTCGTTTTATTACTTTATTCGGTAAAGTTTTTTTATTTTTTTTTTCATAATCCCGCCTACATTTCAATTGTAATTTATTTGGACGTATATCATAATCCTTTTTTTTTTAATCGATTTGGTAGGAATCGGATATTTCCTTTTTTTTTTGGAAGGGAGTTGATATAAATCGAATAACATCAATTTAAGTTAATTAATTATGAAATTTCATTTCCTTTTTTTTTTCAAATCTGATTTATATTATATAGATAGATTTCACTTCCTTTTTTTGTAAGCGATTACCTTTTTTTTTGGTAAGCGATTGTTTCAATGAAACGTGCACTAAGATCGGGTTGACCGAATTAAACAATTTTGAATAATATTAAATTAATCGATTACTATTAAATTAATTTTATTTGATTTTCACGTCTAAAATTTTCCAAAATACTATTTTTATTTTTGTGGAAAATGGCGGTTGGATGAAAAAGTCAAATTCAAATTAAAAAAAAAATTGTTATTCTGAAAAAGATATTTTGTAAACCTTAATTCATAAAAATATGGTCAATGATAACTTTAAATACAACGGGTAAATATGGTCAATGATATCATAAATTATATTTTATATTCGATAAGTTCAACTTAATTGATGATTTTGTTTGTTAATATTTGCTTAAGTACAAAATATTTTAAAGTTTATAAAGAATCTCATTTTATGTAGGTTCTTGGTACTTTTTTATTTGTACATATTCATTTTTCATCCCATGTCCAAATACAAATTTAAATGTGGATCTTACATGTTTATTAGAAATATATGTATATTTTTTCAAAAAGTATGACGATCATATAATTAATTTTATCATATATCATATGTTGGATGTTATTAGTTTGGTTGGGGACACTCATAATTTTCAAATAAATAATATATAATTTTTCATATTTGGTATTTCTTTTTTTATAATAATAAGATGTTAAATATAAATAACTATGTTTAATATAAAGTCTTAGAAAAGGTTTTAAGTAAAAACCCCTCCGTGCAGCGCACGGGATACACACTAGTCTATACTTATATTAAAAGGTATCCCATTTACCAGAATTAGTATAAAGAAAAGTCAAAGGTAATTAATGTTTGCTGGAAATAGAATGACATTAATTACAGATTTGTTTTGGTATTTATAGCTTGACAATAAATATTTGTTATGGGATAAAAAAACCGATTTTTTTACCTTTGCTGGAAAAGTCAAATGTAAGTATAGAGTTGCTTTATTCCATAACATCGGTTTAGTTAAAATAATCTCATAAAATTGGTTTTAATGTCAAGCCTATAAATAAAGATTTAATCGGTTTTAATAAAGCAGAATTAATCCGTTTTAATAATTGCATAGAATTTCAAAGTTGTTATTTATTGTAAAAAAATTAAATTCTAAAAAAATATTTTTGTATATTTTGTAAAATGTTTGTACAAAATGATTTACTTTAAATTTATTTGCATAATTTAAATTAATTACATTAATAGATAATATGAACATACATTAAATATTTTAATTACATAAAACAAAAAGGAGAAGAAGATTACATCTATAACTTATAATAATAATGACATTATACTACAATAAATTTTATAATGAAATAATATAAGTATTATACGAGGAACAAGATTACGTAAAATTGTTATTTTTCTTATATCAATAAATAAATATATATAATGAAATCAAATTTATATTATTATAAACATGTGAGCGAGATAATATATTAATTAATTTACGGGCTAGCGCTACCAGACTCAGGTTCAATGTTCCGACAAAAAATGACGTTGATGAAAAGATGTAAAAATATAGATGATTGAACTCTATTATTTTCTAGGTCTGAACGGACAAGCCCTATGGTCCATTCATTTAATATCTCCCGTGAATCGCACGAGCTAATTAACGGACAAGTTCTGTGGAAGTAACTCATTAATACTTATGTCCCGTGTATCGCACGGGCTACGTGCTAGTTTAGATTAATATGTGTCACTCCCAAACATATAAGTTTGTGAAGTAGAAATTCCAATTAAAATGTTCTCTTCAATTTACATAACTAAAGTGACTATACAATTAACGCATATTAGTTTTATGGCTAAAATGGTCTTATTTAGAATATGAATGTAGCACTTTAGGTTTCACTGAAATGACATATAACAATTTTAACTCATGTAATTTAATATTTTGCTTCAATTTTAATTACCCAACTGTTAAAATTTCTAATTTTCGCATTAACACAATTTAAATTGTAGCAAATTATTAAATTACAGAAGTTAAATTGAGAATCAAAATCTATCCCATCTTTCACTAGGATTTTTTTACGGCCAGGGGACTGAAATTGCATACATAACTTACTGGACTGAAATTGCATACATAACTTAAAATGCTATATGTCCTTAATTACTACATTCATAATTAGATTAAATTTGCAATTTAGCAACCTATTATTAAGCAATCTTAAAATAAATGATATGACCTTATCCATTGATGTTGATGACTGATTGGGGACAAGAACAAGTCTTCCATTCCAAGCACTTCCCCGTAACTCACTCGCTCCACCAACTGCAAAATCTTGACTCTCATATCATTCTCACATTACATTTTCCTAACCTTTAAAATCCCATAACACACACACACACACACACACACACACACATCTTTCCCAATGGCACCGATCTCCGACCCCTATCGGCCGCCGCCTTTCCCCACCGCCGCCAACGATGCTGCTTTTCCCGGCCAAGCAACACCCACTACCTTCGACCTGCTGAGAGATTGGCGGATCGGTGCTCCGGTGGCATGTTTTACAATCTTCTGGGTTTCATTCTTCATCCTCGTCGCTTATGCGTGCATTACCGCCGATGTCCTAGCTTTCGAAATGGAGTCGGTCTCGGTTTCACTGCACAACGACGTGGAATTTAACGCGGCCGTGTGGGAATTAGGGTTTATGGTCGAGAAACAAATTGTGAAGATCAAGGATTTCAGCATATGGGTCCGATGCGCAAAGTCCCCCGATTGGTGGGGAAGGGAGATGGGGACCTTTGGTGGTGGGGAAAACGGGACCACTCGTGTGAACGTGACGTTGATGAGCACGTTGTTCGATTGTGGTCCTGCGGTCGAGATGAAGAAGGCGCTCGAGTACGATGTGATGTTCAAGGGAAGGTACCGGGAACGTGCGATTAAGGCCGTGTGCAAGAATATGACGGCCGAGCCGCATGGCAGCCGTGGTTGGTTTGTGGTTGGACGGCTGAGATTGTGTCCGGTGACGGAGTACTAGTGTAGGAGTATTAGTACAATATGTGTTCTCTACCAATTTTTTTTTTTTTTTTAATAATTTATTTTTATGGAAGGGTTTGTTGAAATATGGAATAATTCTTGATGCATGTGTTGAAATGATGGATTTGAGATGGTGCAATTGCATATTTATATATATACATGTGTAGCTACATTTAATGTAGTTTGATTTATGTGTAGGAATAAGGCATGTAGTAAACGAGCTGATCTGAGCTCGAGCCCTTAATAAGTGGATCTCGCTCATAAAGTAAACAAGTCAAAAAATTATACTCGAGTTTGACTCATTTATCAATATTGACGAGCCCAACTATAGAAAATCATATAAAATCCTCTTTTTAAGTCTTTATCGAGCAAAGCTTGTTAACAGAATAAGCATTAAATGAGCTCCAGCTCGACTTGTCTAACAAACGAGCCGAGTCGAACTCTCGAGCAGCTCGTTACATTTAACAGTTCTATTAGGCATGCAGAAACCCAGATTTGTGCGTTTCGAAGTCTTTGATATACTAGAAAAATATGAAATTTGTTAAATATTAGCTAAAAAGAAAAATTTCAGCCAAGTAGTGACATGTATAAAATTGATTTTGTAAACTAGAAAAATATGGAATTTGTTTAATACTAGTACGTAACCCGTGCGATGCACGAGATGTAAAATTTGGAAGAATAATATAACCTCACGTGCATTAGGATCGAAATTGAAATCATTAAAATACATAGGAACATTGTTGAATCATAAAAAGTTCGGTAACAATCATATATTATTAAAATCCTCCTTGTACATAACATTATGCGTTTGATTATTTGGTAACTCCTCATTATCACAAACTAATATTTTCAAAAGAGACAAATCCTAAAAATCAAACTAATATTTTTGGTGAATAAACTAATATTTTAGGATTGGTGAACAAACTAATATTTTAGGATTTCTAGTATTTGTCTCTTTTTGGTGAACAAACTAATATTTTAGGATTGGTTATATGAATAAGGCTACCTGTTTTTGGTGTTCTTTTCATTCATTTTCATTTAAACAATCCGATGACTTGTATAATGAAATCCGAATCTTAAGTCCAAATATTTAAAACAGAGTTTTTAAAAATTGAAAAGTCAAGGCAATCAGTTCAGATTAATTAAAGGTCAAAGAATATCCGCTCCTTGAAATAAAGACGTGTGCTATCATTAACCAAATATCCAGTTATTGATATAGAGTGGTTACCAAAAAATAGAACGCGATAAGGATGCTTCATGAAAATATCAATGGGATAAGGTCATAACAGATCGCTATACATTTTAACGATAAAAGCTCAGATGGAATGATTTATGATAATTATATGATAATTAATGAATTAACTAGATGTGTAAAAAGGACATAATTAATGAGAAGTGCGAAAAATGACATAATTAATGAGAAGTGTAAAAAGGACAAAAACTTACTGATTTTGAAAAATATTTAATGCAAATCCGACATTGACCATAGTTTGACCTACTATTTTGAATAAATATTAATTCTTATTATATAAGTATAGATATGTGAAAAGACTGTATCGTGTGACATTTAAATTAATATCCCAAACATATAAGTTTGTGAAGTAGGATTGCCAATTAAAATGTTTTCTTCAATTTACATCAAGTGGCTATATAATTACCACATATTTTATAGTTAAAACGCAATTTTGATCCTATATATTAATAAGATTATTAATGTAGGAATTTAGGCTTCAATGGAGTGGCATATACTATTAATTACCACAAGATTATTAATGTAGGAATTTAGGCTTCAATGGAGTGGCATATACTATTAATTACCACGTATCTAGCTCGATTTTGGGATCATGTACACTCGATTCAATCTCGGGATTATGTATTCTTGATCATGTTTTGTTTCTGTAGATTTCGTGCATCCTTTTGCAATGTGTCAGGGGAACACTCGTTTTTTCTGTAGATTCCGTGCATCGTTTTGCAATTTACCGGCATTATAATGTCGCTAAAAATGGAATTAGATGACGTCATTGGCGTTAGTGACGAGGTACAAGAAACTCTGATGCAGTTGATGGTTAGCTAGTAACAAAAACCACACCTGAAGTTTGATCGAAATATGGAATCAGTCCGCTTTTCTTTAAAATTACACCCTTTTCAACCACTGTTGAAGGTATGCTTTTGTCAAATGAATACAAATCTCAAGGGGTTATTTGTAGTTCTGAAAGATAATTTAGTATTTTTCGTTCTGAGGCTTAATTTAAACTCTGGGACCATTTTCATGATCATCTCTGTTTTGTTCTGTTGCCATAACTGATAAGTAGTAACATGTATAAAACTGATTTTTTGAACTAGGAAAATATGGAAAATTTGTTTAATATATGTGAAAAGACTATAGTATGTGACATACAAATTAATGTGTCGCTCCAAAACATACAAGTTTGTGAAGTAGAATTACCAATTAAAATGTCCTCTTCAACTTAATTACATCAATTGGTTATATAATTAATTATCACATATTACTTAAAAACTGTTTAATACATGACCTTATCCATTGTTGTTGATGATTGATTGGGGACAAGAGCAAGTCTTCCATTCCATGCACTTCCCCGTAACTCGCTCCACCAACTGCAAAATCTTGACTCATATCACTCTCACAATTACATTCCTCCAAACTCTTCAAAATCCCATAAAACACAAACACACACACACACACACCTTAATTTCCCAATGGCACCGATCTCCGACCCCTACCAGCCGCCGCCTCCCCCCACCGCCGCCGATGATGTCCCTTTTTCCGGCCAGTCGAGAAAGTGTCAGCCCCATCATTTGTTGGTGCTTTGTATCAGCATCTTGTTTTTAATATTCATCACCTTCCTCTCTTATAAAGCAGTGCAAGTCGATTTCCCAAATTTCGAAATCGAGTCCGTCTCGATTTCGCTGAAGGAATTTAACGCGAGCGAAGAAGAAGAACAGCTGTCTTTCCCGACCGTGTGGGAATTAGGGTTTACGGTCGAGAAACAAAATGACAAGATCGGGGATTTCGGCGTATGGGTCCGGTGTGCAAAGTCTCCCGATTGGTCGGGAAGGGAAATGGGGACCTTTGGTCTTCGAGAAAACGGGAACGCTCGTGTGAACGTGACTTTGAGCACGATGTTGTTCGATTGTGGTCCGGTCGAGATGAAGGCCCTCGAGTACGACGTGATGTTCAAGGGAAGGTACTTGGATTATGAGTTTAAGGCCGTGTGCAAGAATATGACGGCAGCCGAGGCACATGGCGGCCGCGGTGGGTCGTTTATGGTTGGACCGCCGAAATCGTGTCGGGTGAATGATTACAAACGTCTTCGCTAGTGTAGTGTAGTAGTAGTAGTATAATCTGTGTTCTTTACCATTTTTTTTTTTATTTATTTATTTGATATATTTTTATGGAAGGATTTGTTGAAATTATGGAATAATATTCTTTGATTCATGTGTTGAAATGATGGATTGAGATGGTACTTGCATATATATATATATATATGTAGCTCAATTAATTAATGGAGATTGATTTATGTGTAGACATTAGGCCTGTAAGCGAGCCGATCCGAGCTCGAGCCTTAAATGAGCGGGCTTGGCTCGTAAAGTAAACGACTCAAAAATTGTACTCGAGTTCAACTCGTTCATCAATATATTAACGAGCCGAACTCTAAAAAATTAAATAAATTTTTTTTTTTCGAGCCTTATCGAGCCGATTTCGTTAAAGAAATAAGCTTTAAACGAGCTCTAGCTCGACTCATTTATCAAACGAGGCAAAATGAATTCGAGCCTTAACGTGTCCAGCCGGACTCACGAGCGGCATCATACATTTAACAGCTCTCGTGGACATGCAGAAACCCCAATTTGTGCGTTTCAAAGTCTTTGATGTACTAGAAAAATATGGAATTTGTTAAATATTAGCTAAAAGGAAAATTTTCAAGCAAGTACACTACAGAAAAAATGATATATTCCAACGGAAAATCCTATGGTAATATATTCCCATGGAAATTCCAACGGATATTCCAATGGTATAGGTTCCGTTGGAATGATTCCAACAGAAATATTTCGTTGGAATGTATTTTTCATTGGAATTTTAGATGGAATTTGATGATTCCAACGACTATATTTCCAACGGTTTTTGACCAAAGGAATTTGCAATTTATGTTGGAATTTTTATTTCCACCACCGTTGGAATCGTCAAAATCCAACGGAAATTCCAATGAAAAACTTATTCTAACGGAATATTTTTGTTGGAATTTCCGTTGGAATTATTCCAACGGAAATAATAGCATTGAAATATCTGTTAGAATTGCCGTTGAAATTCTATTGGAATATATTTTCATTGGAATTTCATCATTTTCTTGTAGTGGTAGTGACATGTATAAAACTGATTTTTTAAACTAAAAAAATATGGAATTTGTTTAATATGTGTGAAAAGACTATATTGGTGTGACATTTAAATTTATATCCCAAACATATGAGTTCTTTTTNAATTAAAATGTCCTCTTCAATTTACGTCAAGTGGCTATATAATTACCACATAAAATTAAAACGTAATTTTAGTCTTATTATTTTTTTTTTTTTCAAACGACAAAGAAACAAACTTTTATTGAACTAAAATAATGTACATGGTAATCAACTGATTACAAATCACAAGGATTACGAGGCATGGTAATACCACCCCCTAATTGGCAACATTGCCGCAGTCTAAATAACACAATAACAACAACAATCTAAAAAATAGTATCAACAGCAGCCTCACAATGAAACATATATAAGATTTTTAATGTCTAAAAGCTCCTGATTTGATTCATCGGTATTCAGCAGTCTTCTATTAATATCATCCACCACATCCGCTGACTGAATAAGAATTGTAAAGTGCTTACAGTACTTCTGGTCTTTAGCTCTATCTAAGCACCACCTTATAGCCATGAACCAGGCCTCAGCTTGTGTTGTAGCTCCTTGTAGCGTCCACTTGAGCTGGGATTTATCCTTGTGTTCCAAAGTGCAGTCCACTATCACCCTCCCTTCATCAGATAATGAAGCACTGAGAGTCCAAAAGGACTGACCTACTTCCAAGGAAAATCTATCATGATGAGAAGTATAGGGTAAATGTGTACTGTCTCTGTTGTCACAAAAGTACTTAGTCTGAACTACCCACTCCTGCCACTCTACCTTAGCTTCTTCCACAATGAGCTTCTCATGTATCCAGTCACCTTTATACAACCACTTATTCCTAGCTTGCCATAGATGCCAAAGCAAAAAAGCAGATAATCCTAACATCATATGCCCAGAATTACACAGTTGCAGCCACCAGGTTTGAAAATTAACACATTTAATGTATCATTATATTATCAATGTAGCAATTTAGATTTTATTGGAGTGACATCTGTGACCTTATCTATTAAGGAATCTTAAAAGAAATCAAACTGTCTTATATTTGACCTTACCCATTGATGTTAATGATTGGAGACAAGAACAAGTCTTTCCATTTCAAGTACTTCCCCCAAACACACTCCCACACCAACTGCAAAATCTTGAGTAGTAATTTATATTTCAAAGTTTTACATATTTTATGGCTAAAACGCAATTTTTGTCCTATTATATTATCAATGTAGTAATTTAGATTTCAGTAGAGTAACATATAACAATTTAAGTAGACCTTATCTATTGAGCAATCTTAAACGTTAAAACAAATGAAACTTGTCTGTGACCTTATCTGTAACAAGAACAAGTCTTCCATTAATCCATTTCATACACTTCCCGAAACACACTACCATACCAACTGCAAAATCTTGACTCACATATATCACTCTCAAATTACTTAGCTGAGAAAGTGTTGTTTGACCGTGTTCCGGTCGAGATGAAGGCGCTCGATTACGATGTGATGTTCAAGGGAAGCTACTGCAGATACGAACTCAAGGCCGTGTGCAAGAATATGACGGCGCTTGGCAGCGGCCGTGGTGGGTTTATGGTTGGACGGCCGAGATCGTGTCTGGTGACGGAGTACAAAGAACCCCAGCGTTACTAGTGTAGGAGTATAGTACAATCTGCATGTTCTACTTATCTTTTGATTTAATTATTTTTATGGAAGGGTTTGTTGAAATACGGAATAGATCTTGATGCATATGTTGAAATGATGGATTGAGATGGTGCTTGCAGGATATATATATATGTAGCTCAATTTAATGGAGTTTGATTTATGTGTAGGCATTAGGCCTGTAAACGAGCTCTTTAACGAGTCGATCTCGAGCTTTAACTATAGAAAAGTATATAAGAATTCTCATTTTGTGTCTCATTGCCAAGCCGAGGCTAGCTCGTTAACGGAATGAGCTTTAAGCGAGTTCGAGCTCAGCTTGTTTATCAAATATTATTTTAACAGAAATTTTAAAAGAAAAATAAAATAAGTCACACCCTTAATAATGAGCGTACCGGGACTTCCATTCAGTTCCCTTTGCTGTAGGTGCAGGCGCAGACGAGCGACTAGCTTAGGAGGTAATAGCCGAAACAAGCAACTAGGTCTCATAGGCGAGCTTGCCTTTGATTTTAGGAAAGAGACTGGGTACTACTTGGAAACTGTAACTTTCTGATGAGGCTTGCTTGGCCGTAGTTCCGTCCGCATCCCCTGTTAGCGTGTTTAATGCTTTCGACATCGATCTTGGGTCAGTATGGGTGTGCTTCCCTTTACTCAATTCAATCTGGGTCCGAAGTGAAAAAGCCATAAATTCCAACCATTGGACCTATTTATTCGGCTCCATCACGGCGAGCGGAGCGGGCGGACATGTCCCCTATCGACTTACTTAATGTTGGGCGAAAGCCGGTGCGCTACCGATCCGATACAAGTACCGGATTGAACTTTAGAAAGCCTATAGCCAATAGAGAGAATCGAGTAGATAGCTTGGAGTCGAGGTCAACTTTGTCGATCCTTTTGAGCTCTTTTCCTTCACTGCGCTTCAAAAAGTTTGTTCTTAATTTATTTAAAATTCGAGTTAGATCTCAAACATTTGTATAGTCTTATTGAGACAGATGAGCCTTAAAAAATTGGAGCTCGCTAGCTCGAGCACCAATATATATATAAATATAAAAATCGAACCTTCAATTAGATCATTCAATTCGAAATGCGGTTCTGCTCGTTTACAGACCTAGTTACAAGTTACAACAGACTCATAAACTACAATCTACAATAACTAATTTTTAATAGGGATAAAATGTAACAAAAAAGAAAAAAAAAACCTCTCTTGCTACTCCAGTTTTTTCCCAACTTCTCGCAGAAAAACCTTAGCCTATAAATTCGTCGGCGGCCTCCTTGCTATAGGGAGCTCCGCGCCACCGCTGTGCTAGTCGTCCCAGAGCCGTGCTTCCGGTCCCTTGTCCAGTCGTGGCCCTCTCGGTCGAGCAAAGATTTCGCCTCCGTTGCAGGTTGCGTTGCAGGACCTAAGGTGGTCCCAGTGTTCGGCGACGTAGATAGACAACATGCTCCGGTTGCTACCTTGCGGTGGTCGAAGCAGAGGTTAGCCTTTTCTCTCTCCTTCTTTTCCTGTCTTACCTAGTGTGGGGTGGAGAGTTTGCAGTGGGTCGGGGTTGGGGTGCCAGCCGTTGTTGGTCTAGGCTGTCGGTGGGTGAAAGGGTTGGAGGTTTGTGGCTTTTTCGGTTCTCCTTCTCCTCGTCGTCTTGAAGCTGCGCGCTGGGGCTAGCCGGTGGGTGTGGGCCTATGGTCTCCAGATATGGTCCGAGAGTCGTTTGCCTAGAAGAGGGATTGTTCTGAGGCTCGACTCTAGTTAGGCGTACCAATACTGCAGTTTTTGGTTCGGAGCCTTGATCTGGGTCTCTGTCTATTTGGGGTAGTTGCTCTCGGGGTCAATATTGTGGCATTGCGGAGTAGTTTGTCGTCTGTGGAGGAGGACTTTTATTTTCTTTAGAATTGGTTTGTAGTTTTTGTATGTTGTCTAGTTATGTAAGTGTGTGTTTGTTTTTTTCTCCTTTTTAAGAGCAAGTATTTTTCTTTGGGAGTCTGTATTCTCCACTAGTGAAGTGTTTTAGTTCTTTTTTTGTATGGTAATTGTTATTTTAGTACCTGTACTATGGGGTAATTGTGATTTTGGTACCTATTCTTTATTTATTGTGAAAATACAACATGATCTTTACGTTTTTGCGAATTTGGTACCTAGTATTGACGTCGGTTTGCATGAATTTACGTTTCGGACTCGTTTGGCCTCGTTCGAACTCGGAATTGAGTTCTGTTTTTTTCTACGCGTCGCCAACGAACCCCTCTATTTAATGATGCTTGTATGACCAATTATTCTTGAAATACTATTCTCTCAAAGCTTATGATCAGCACACCAAAGACGTTTTTCGCGCGACTTCGCGTTTTGGGTCCGTTCGAGCTCGTCCAAACTTGGAATTGAGTTTCGCTTTTTTCTACATGTCGCCAACGAATTCTTCTACTCAACCATGGTTGCTCGGTTGATTTCTGGGCCAAATTTATTCCTCACGGGGCTTCCAACCTACACCTAGTAGTGATGGAGTTTTGGCAAGTGTTTGTTCTATTTTTTTACGTTTTTTCCTATTGTTTTGTCACTATTTTTTCCCCGTTTTAGAACTTTTCGTTGGCTTTTATTCGTTTTTGTAGTTTATTGTGTCATGTTTTTTTTTTGTTTTTCTTCTTGTTCTTAGTGTGCAGGTTGGAAGCTCCGTGAGGAATAAATTTGACCCGAAAATTGACCGGACAACCATGGTTGAGTAGAAGGGTTCGTTGGCGACATGTAGAAAAAAGCGAAACTCAATTCAATGTTTGGACGAGCTCGAACGGGCCCAGATGAATCAGAGGTCTTGGAGGAAGGAAGGGCACTGCCATAGTTGATGCAATAAGACTTGATGAAGGCCGTGCTGTTTGCGCGATAACGGCAATTGCCTTCAAGCTTTCAACTGATTGACCATGATAGTCAGACGCGAAGTCGTGCGAAGCACGTCTTTGGTGTGCTGGTCACAAGCTTTGGGAGAATAGTATTTCAAGAATAATTTGGTCATAAAAGCATCATTTTATAGAGGGGTTCGTTGGCGACGCGTAGAAAAAAACGGAACTCAATTCCGAGTTCGAACGAGCCTGAAACATAAAGTCATGCAAACCGACGTCAATACTAGGTACCAAATTCGCAAAAATGTAAAAGTGAGGTCGTATTTTCGCAATAAATAAAGAATAGGTACCAAAATCACAATTACCCCATAATATAGGTACTAAAATAACAATAACCCTTTTTTGTATTGTTCTGTGTCTTTTAGTCTACTTTGGAAATGCTATGGTTCTTTACGGTACCATCTCGTCGGGTGTTTTAACCGTTGGATCATCTATTTTATACTAACTACATATATGTATCAAACGGTTAAAACTCCCGACGAGATGGTACTGTAATGGGCCCGTAGCATTTCCCGTAATTATGTATAAGGAACTAGGGATAAAATGACAAAAACGTATTCTGCGAACATAAACAGTTAGAAAAGCAAAGCGTCGAAAAATAAAAAAGATGGAGAAAATGATGCTGATGAGATCGATGTGCCGCTCGATCATCCGTAGATCTCAACAGTTTTACTCCGCCGGAGCCGCCGTCAACTACCGCATCCGCCACCTCCATATCTCTTCCCCGTCGCTCCCCTCCTATTCTCGTAATCGACGTAATTGATTTTGTGTAATTCATTTGGTCTTCTAATCGTCGCTACTCGGACTTGCAGTTGAACATTCTCTATTCACATGAGCTTCGAATGTTGCCATAACATTTCTGTTTCATCTTCTTTTTCTGTTGGTTGTTTATTTTCGTGTAATTGTATCGTGTTCACTGAAATTTCCACCTTTAGGTTGCAGTAAATTGTCGATTTTCAGGTTGCCTTGGGTGAATCTCGTCACTAGAGGTAGACATAGTAGGGTTCTGGACTTCCGGTTGTGAATTAATAAGTAAGCTGATGAAAGATCTAATCAGAAGTAAATTGGACCATGGAGTTGGAATTAATTAAGCTGAAAGGAACTAGATTAGTGTTTGCTATTGAGTGTGAAATAATGGAACTAGATTTTCTAGTCATAATCACTCTGGTTCTTTCAAGCAAAAAGGAAAAAAAAAAAAATGAAAGGGAAGATATTAAGATAATATATCCAACTTCCAAGTATATTTAGTCACTTATGATTTATGTGTCCAATAAGGAAGGGGGAAGAGATGTGTAATGTGGTCAAAACTTTGCAATCTCCCTTCTGGGCCCAGTTATATTTATTTTCATTTTCTAATTTTCCGAATATATGACATATTTTATGCTTTTTGGTATTTGTTTGTGGGAGATAAATGCTGTCTGTGGGCGTATATGATTCAGAAACCAAGAAGTTTGTCCTTTTTGGTTGATTTCGATTATACATACGATATCTAATGTGTTATACTGCTATTAGCTTTACTATCATGCTGAATTTAAAGGGTGAATAACAAACAATGAGAACTGTGTTGTGATTGTACCTGCATATAGTTTGTTTGTTAATATACCTAGTTGAAATTTGGTTTTTGAGGTTGAGAGTCTTGAGACTATTTTGGGATCATGTACTCTCGATTCAATCTCAGGATTATGTACTCTTCATATTTTGTTCCTGTAGATTCCGTGCATCCTTTTGCAATGTGTCCGGGGAACACTCGTTTTTTCAGTGAAGATGTTTCGCATATGCCTGTTATAAATGATCTGGAGATTGAGCGTGCTTTCAAAGACTTAATGGCCACAAATTGGGATGAACTTCCATCAGAAATCGTCCATGGCGTAAAAAATGCATTGTCCAAGAACACAGAGGACAAAGCTGCACAGGAAGTTCTTACAAATGTGTTTCGAGCAGCTGAGGCGGTTGAGGAATTTACCGGCATTATAATGTCCCTAAAAATGGAATTAGATGACGTCATTGGCCTTAGTGGCGAGGTACAAGAAACTCTGATATAGTTGATGGTTAGGCTAGTAACAAAAATTAGGCTAGTAACAAAAACCACACCTGAAGTTTGATCGAAATATGGAATCAATCCGGTTTTCAATAAAATTACAAATAGCCTCTTGAGGATTTTGTTTGCATTGTAAATTTCCCCCTTTCGACCACTGTTGAAGGTATGCTTTTGTTAAATGAATACAAATCTCAAGGGGTTATTTGTAGTTCTGAAAGATAATTGAGTATTTTTCATTCTGAGGCTTATTTAAACTCTGGGATACTTTTCGTGATCATCTCTGTTTTGTTCTGTTGCCAGAACTGATAATTTTACTGTTGGGCAGAATGTGAAACCATTGAGTGAAGAATATTCAAAGGCATTGCAGACGATTTTTGATAGATATGCAGTTTATCTGGCTGCATTTGGGCCAGAAGAGAGCTACTTGAAGAAGAAAGTGGAAACGGAGTTGGGAACAAAGATGATATACTTGAAAATGAGGTGTGGTGGCCTCGATGCTAAGTGGGGAAAGGTATAGTCTCTTTTTGTGGAATTATAGTTTTTTCCCCTCTATTCAAGAATTATAACCAATTTCTATCACATAGAGGTTAGTGGCTGAGCTTCAAGACTTCAAGGCTGCTGGAAAAAATAGTTACCTTTCATACAAGAAGAGCATAAGCAAAACAAATAGTGGTTTCTTCAAGTTCAGATAATGGTGATATCTTTGATAACATTAATTATAAAAACGATCTGATTTAACCTTGACCCAATAATTCCAAATCATTCGAAATCACAAATATCTTCTTTATATTCATTTTCTTTTACGAATTGCGCCGTCTAGCTGGAGTGTCTGCTAGGTTAAATACAAACCTCACATTAAAGGGGTTTTCTTAGTTCTGAAATTAAATTGGGTTTTTGGTGACTAGGGTTAAACATGAGAGGCAGTCATGTATTAATGAATTGATTGTCTTGACTCTTTATAAATATAGCAGTTCGTCCAATAAATGAACCGCCTGATGGCTAACTAATTTACCATCTCTGCTGGGAGTTTTCAACAGAACTGAACATGTTTTTGATAGCTGTCGAAATAGATTTTCTTTTTATAAATGTTATTGTTGCCTTTTCACTACAAGAATCGAAACTTCTGCTTCTGCTTTTCAAAACACGTATTTTATATTCGCTTAATGTACATTTCAGGTTACGGTTTTGGCAACTTCTGGACTCTCTGGTTCTTATGTTGAGAAACGAGCATAAATTCCAACGGGTGGCCCACTGCAGAATCTTTTTTTCTTTTCTCATTTATGCGTGACTTCCAGAACAATGTTGAAGTAAGTTTTTGTTCGGAAGAAATTTATTGTTCTTGCCTTCTAGTTCTATAGCAACCTCTTTACTGGAATTTGTCCATCTCAATGAAATTAGTATATAATAAAAATTGTGGCGAACATTTCCTTTTTCTCATGTCTGCGGAAAAGATTTCTTTCTCTGGAGTTCTCGTTTTGCTTTCGGCTAATCCCCAGCCTACAAGAAACTAGAGGGATAGTAAAAAATTCCATTTTGCAGTGTTTAATGCACCCAAACTCCCCTTTCTTGTTCTATGATTTTTTTTTTCTTTTTTTTTTTTCATATGATGTTGTGCTTTTGTGGTCTTTATGGAAGGTAGTATAATTATCAAGTTTGGTGATCAAATTACTAATTTATCAACAAAGGAGAAGATAATTTATGAGCTCAAAACGTATATATCAAACAACAGGTCCTGAAAGAGGTTCATTACAACAGCATTTTCCTTTGCTACAAAGAGAATACACGTCTTTCCAAATTGGTTTATTAAGTAGAGTTCTAAACAAATCAAGCCGGCCGACCTCAAACTTACGACACTCAAGTTCGGCTTGTTAGCTACGCAAGCCGATAAACGAACTTAATTCGCTCTTAATGAGCCAAGCATGGTGTTGTTAGATTTAATTGAGCTCGGCTCGTTAAGGCTCAAGTTCAGCTCGAGCTCATTTAAAGCTCGTTTGGTTAACGAGACGTGCTCGGCTTGGCTCGATAAGGCTTGTTAAGGCTCAAAAAGATAATTTTTGTATAATTTTTTATAGTTCGGCTCGTAAATAGTGATAAACGATCCGAGCTCGAGCTCGATTTCTGGCTTGTTTATTTAATGAGTCGAGCTCGACTCGGCTCGTTTATAGGCCTATATACATGTCGCTTGTTTTGCTTAATAACTCTATTAAAATGAGGTGGATTATTTACTAGGACAACACTGTAAATGGAAAATGACGAAAAGAGTAATGTGAAGTTTTCACTTTCTACTTGGAATCCCGATCCATGCTAAAAGAATACCAGGCAAGCTGCATGTACTTGAAATAAATTTCTGTGTCGTGATTATTTTATTGTTATTTTTATCATAGCGAAATGGAAAAGTTTCAAATATATATAACTCCCAGAGTACTTGACTCATTGAATTTTTATTTAAAGTTACCATGATTCAAAAAAATTAATCACACAATATTCTGACACTATATTTATTGATTTGTTGAAATTTATTTCTCCCCAACTATTAGAGAGCTTCCTGAAACTGGGCCATATATTTGCCCTTTTATAGCAGTACACCACTCGTGGGTACTGGGCTAAATGGTACAGATGCCAGTCCATGCAATGTCAAATCTCATGTACAAATCTTTTACCGCTCATTTATGTGCATACTGCAAAACACAGCATAGCCCATGTGAGCAAAAATTTACTAGTTATGTGTTCTGTGGAGTACAAAAAAAAAAAAAGTAGAAAATAAAAAATAGGTAGCAAACCCATCAATCATGCTGTTTGTATTTATTCGTATGAATTGAGCCGAGTTTGAGCGTTGTTAACTTAGGCGTGAAGTTGTGAGAGAGGGGCAAGTAGACATGTTATGGATAAATGAGGTTAAAATTGGAGTCACATTGAATTTGATTATAGGTTTGGAGCTCAATATATAGATTTCAATTTGAGCAACTAGAAAATTAGCTTTAATTTTATTTTTAAAATATATTGTCAATATTCAAAATAAGCCGAAATAGCACTATCAAAAGTGTGTTTGACGATTAACATAAGTTAGCATCATAAGAGTATTGTGGTCCACCAAAACTTTATATAAGACGAAGTTATATGGCGTATTTCTTTATCAGCATCATGTTATGAAAAAAAAATCAATCTTACCCATGATTGTATTGCAGTTATCGGGTTTTTCACTACATATGAATACCTACATATTTTTGTGTTAATCCAACGATGAAAATCGTTGAATGCAGCTAGTCAAATCTAGCCAGGTTATGATTGGGGTTCTAATTAAGTTCATTGTAAGTTTCAATTAATTTTTTTGTGAAAAGACAGTCAAATCCACATAAAACCAGTCTTCCTAATACTTTTTAGTTTTTCAACTACTTAGACAAAAATTGAACCTTTCACCGACATCACAATCAACCATGGGCCGCACACATTAGAACACCGTTGCAAATAATTAGAAACATGAAAAATAGGATTAATGGACCATTTGCATGCCAAAATTAGCATACTTTTTTTTTTACTTTGTATTCTAATTTCTAACTATTTACATACAGCAAACGTGCTCCATAGTTTTAGCTCCCAAACAGA